GTGTGAGTGTGTGTGTGTATGTGTGTGTGTGTGTGTGTGTGTGTGTGTGTGTGTGTGTGTGTGTGTGTGCGCCCGTGTGCGCCCGCCTGTTATCGGTTGCACACAGGTCGAGTACAGGGCGGAGTGGGGCGGAGGCTTTTCAAATTTGTTGACCGCTGCCGCCCTGGGGCTCTGATATGTGATTCTCCCAGCCACATCCAACTATCCACCCAGGCAGAAACACCCCCAATGAGCTACCTCAAACACCCACCACCTCAAAACACCACACATGCCAGCACGTCCACCCCCATTTTCATGAACCCCCAAAACCAGTCTATGCCCTCGCCGCGCTGCCCCCGCGAGCCGCGCACCTGGTGCAGCCAAATCGTGTTGTCTGGCTTCATTGACGTATCCTTGCAGCGCGCCGTGTCGGTCATGCGCATGATGTTGGCGTTGTGGACCTTCTCCATAACCCCCGCCCTCACGGCGTCGCGGATGACGCTGCATGTGCGTGTGCGTGCGTGCGTAAGTGTGCGTGTGTGCGTGTGTCTGTGTGCGTGTGTCTGTGTGCGTGTGTCTGTGTGCGTGTGTTCTTGTGTGCGTATGCGTGTGTGTGTGAAAGGGGGATGCGGCGGTGACAGGGGCCTGCAGGGGTAAGCTGGCGCGTCAAGCGCATTCAACTTGGCGTGCTGGCACGCCTTGGTGCGGTAGCAGTCGTTCATTGATGTGACGACCTACATCAATTTGACCCAATTCAGTGCCCGGGCCTCACTAGTTCAGGTCCTCCTCCAGCGGCTGCTGCAGTCCGAGGGCCAGTCCGAAGCCGGAGTCCACGATAGAGAAGGGCGTCCCAACCGCCACGAAATCGCAGTCCATAGAGGCTGGGTGGGTGGGTGGTGGGGTTGTAGAGGAGGAGGTTAAGTACCGACAGGGTGCGGCAAGGGCAATGGCACCCCTGTTGCGGCAAAACATTGCAAATCAAGGGGCTGAGACGAGAAAATGACGGAAAAACAGAAGAGAGGGCTGGGATGCGGGACGGGGCAGCGCTGCAGGCGCGACGGAAGCATCCCAAGTGGTGCTTGTCGTTGCCCACCACCACTTCATGATGAAGTGGGGGCTGGTGGCCGAAAATTTCAAGTGTGGGCGCCCGCGTGCGGCCGGCGACGTCGGCCGCGGCGCCCGCCCCACGCCCGGCGGCGCCTTGCCCCCCGATCGCCCCCAAACAAAGCCCCGCGCGGCGGCGCTGCTAGGCGGCGGCGCCGCACCGATGTAGTCGACCGTGTTCCTGTCAAGAACGAGCGCCTGGATCTCCCCAGATCGCAGCTTGTCCAGCATTTTGCCCTCATTATCGGTGTTGAGCCTGGATTTGTTGGATTCGTGATGATCCTTGTGCTCAGAGCACGCAAATTGCAATCGCAGGAAGGATGCGGATTGGCCCGGCAGTCGCAAGCCAGCGCCCACGCGGGACAGCAGCCGGCGCAAGGCAGTTTTCGCCACTGCGGCCGATTATACGAAAGCGGCGAGGCCTCGCCGTGGCTGTCGTGGAGCGGAAGCCTTGCGAGCTCGCATGCGTATTGATCGGGAGCGCTGGCGCCGGCGCGGCGCGCTTGAGCAGCGCTGACGGCGACCGCACAGCCGCGGGTGGCAAAGCTGCTCGCGGTCCCAGGCGCGCGCCCCGCGCCAGGAGACGCGCGCGGGGCGGCTCACCAGGGCAGCCCCACGACGTTGATCCCCTGATCCGTCAGCCGCGGCACGTAGCCCTCCCTGCGGCGGAGGGGGGGGGGAGGGAGGGGGACCCGCGGGCGGCGGCGCATCAGCTGCAGGGCGTGCAATGCAGCCGGGCTCGGCCCAAGAACTGCACTGCAGGGAGCGCCACGCGAGGCGGGCGGCCGAGGTGCCAACGCGCGTGAAGGCCCGCCCGGCGTTGACCGTGAAGGGTGAGGTGAGGCAATCATTAGGGCGAGCGTGCCTGCGCCGCTGTTTCGCCCCTCCTCCCATGACCGCGACGTTTGAGGGACCCTTTGCACGGACGGTCAAGGCGGGGCACCCTGCTATTTGCCCAACCGCCGCAGCCAATCCAAGCGGCAGCCGTACGCAGCTGCAGCAGCAGGTGCGCGGGTGGGTGAGCCGGTGCCAGGACCCCCTGCCCGTGCGGCAGCTTCTCACCAGGTTCCCACCACCTTCCCAGGCAGGTCATCCTTCCCATTGATGTTGGAGTTGATCTGGGCGGCGGTCAGCCGCGCCGCGGTGCCGGCGGTGTACATGGCTATGATGAGGAGCATCAGAAGGCCATAGGTGAAAAGCACCGTCTGGGAGGAGAGGGGACAAAGAAAGAGGGGGGAAAGAGATATGACGTGTTTTTTTGTTCCTTGTGTGTGTGTGTGTTGTGTATGTGTGTGTTTGTGTTTGTGTCGTGTGCGCCGGGGGGAGGAGTGTGTGTGGGGGCGGAAGATTGTGTGTGTGTGTGTGTGTGTGTGTGTGTGTGTGTGTGTGTGTGTGTGTGCGCGCGCGCACGCGCGTGCACGCGCACGTGATGACGCTCCCGCATGGGAGGACGCTACTTGGCGGTTAGAGGCAGCGCCCTGCTGCACGCCGACACTGGGGCGCGTGCGCCCGCGCACACGCGCGTGCAAACACACGCACCTGTGCGGGCAGGCTGAGGGCGGTGGGCGGATCGCTGACATCAGCAAACTTGAGCAGGGACCTCCTCATGTGCGTGTCTGCGGGGTTCAGGGTTTCATAGGGGTTGCAGATCCAGGGTTTAGGGCGTCCAGGGTGCGGCAGGGGGTTCCAGGAGTGCGGGGAGAGACGCGGGGATGCCGGGGGCAAGGAAATGAGAGTGGGTGGACGTTGCAGCCGGGCAGTTTTTATTGGTGGTTGTAGTTGTGGTGTGTGTGTGTGTGTGGCGGGGGGCGGAGGGCGAGGGAAGTTGTCGAAGGCAGCCCCATGGGTCGGCCAATTCTGCCTGCAGCCCTTTCCCCGAGTGCTCCCTGCCAGACCCTCCGCCAAGTCTAGTGACCGCCAAAACCCTGGCCAAAGGGCTGCGCTCAGGACGGGGTCTAGGGTTAACCCCGCAACAGGCATGATTAACCAAAAAGTGGGCAAGGAACAGGAACACGTTCGCGACTGCCGTACCCCTCACAGATACACTTGAATGCCAAACCACAATCGCCAAACCACAAATGCAACCCCACCCGCTCACCCAGGTCCTTGAGCACGCGCGCCTCCTCCCCCTTGCGCACCCCCAGCCACCGCAGGCACCAGTTGCCCGTCCGCTCCTCCGGCCCCGCCCCATCCTTGCCCCCGCCGCCGGCGGCGGCGGCGTCCTTGCCGGCAGCAGGGCTGGGAGCTTCCAGGTCCTTCGCACTGCAGCCCCGCACCAGCGGCCCATGCGTGTCACCAGCGCCGCCGCCGCCGCCGTCCCCATGGCAGCCCGATGGCACGTGGGGCGCCGAGTAGGCA